AAACTCGTCACACATGCTTCTGTCATTCCCGGTAAAAATCAAATCATCAACATATAGGCTAACTATCAAAATTTTACCTCCTTTTATCTTGGTGAACAAGGTGTGCTCATTTGGACATCTTTCAAACCCTTCATGCACAAAGTAGACTTCAATTCTGCTATACCACGCTCGCGGTGCCTGTTTTAGTCCGTAAAGTGCTCTCCTCAACTTGTAGACTTTCTCTTCTTCTCCCTTTTTAATGAATCCATGTGGCTGCTGCACAAACACTTCCTCCTTGAGTTCACCATTAAGAAAGGCACTCTTTACATCGAGTTGAAAGACCTCCCAACTGAACTGAGCAGCCATTGAAAGTATCACACGAATGGTGTCAAGCCTCGCCACCGGAGCAAATACTTCAGTGTAATCTATTCCATGACGTTGCGCATACCCTTTTGCAACCAATCTTGCTTTGAATTTCTCTACTTCTCCAACTTCATTACGCTTAGTCTTGAACACCCACTTAACTCCGATAGGCTTGACTCCTTTAGGCAATATTGTAAGCTCCCAAGTATGATTCTTTTCTATGGCCTCAATTTCTGCTGACATTGCCTCCCTCCATTTCTTGCTTTTATTTGCTTCTTCAAATGTAACAGGATCAGTGACTGCCAACATTACATTGAGATTCTCTTCCTCTGAAAGTCCTTCCCCTGTTTCATAAGCTTCCATCCAACCTGGTGCTCTTCTTTCTCGTGCTCCCCTCCCTTCAACCAATTCTCCAGTTGCGTCAAGCACTTCAGGTGTACTTGGATTTTCCTCATTTGAGTTGGTGCCTGAATTTCTTGTTTCACCACTTTCTTCTTCAATCTGATCATCACTTTCATCTTCAGTGATACCATCACCATATTCTAATAGATCCCCCTTGATCTCCTTGTGTGTTCTGCCCCAATCCCAGCTTTCTTCTTCTTCAAAAATTACATCTCTGCTGATGATGATTTTCTTCGAAACCGGATCACATAATCTCCAAGCTTTTGATTCTTCACTGACACCTAAAAAAATACATTTTTTGCTCTTATCATCCAACTTGCTCCTTTTTTGATCTGGCACATGGACATGTGCTACACAACCGAAGATTCGAAAATACTCCACCACTGGTTTCTTACCACTCCATGCCTCTTCTGGTGTTGTATTCTGAACTGCTACTGTTGGACATCGATTTTGAATATGCACACACCACCGCACAGCATCTGGCCAGAATGTTTTGGGAACTTTTTTCTCACTTAGCATGGATCGAACAGCATTCATAATTGTCCTGTTCTTCCTCTCGGCAACGCCGTTCTGCTGGGGGGTATAGGCTGCTGTCAATTGCCTACTGATGCCTTGTGATCGACAAAATTCTTCAAACTCATTTGAGTTGAACTCACCACCCCTGTTTGTCCTCAAACATGTTATGTATGCGCATGTCTCCTTTTCAACACAAGCCTTGAAGTTTTTGAATGTGACAAAAGCTTCTGATTTTTCATGCAAGAAATAGACCCAAGTTTTACGAGTAAAGTCATCGATAAAACTTAAAATGTATCTCTTGTTGCTGCTAGAAGTTGGCGTGATAGGACCACATATATCTGAATGGATTAGCTGAAGCGGTTTTGATGCCCTCCATAAGCTTTTCTTGGGTATGGGCTCTCTATGTTGCTTGCCAGACAAACATGTGGTGCATATCTTCTCTGGATTTTTCAGCAAAGGTAAACCAATTACCATCTTGTTGATAGACAACATTCTCAATCCCGTGTGGTTCAAGTGCCCAAACCGGTAGTGCCACATGTGAGCTTCTTTTTCAGCTACTTCTTCAGTCTTTAAGCACATAGAGCTCTTTGTTTCCATGGAGGCTAACACAAAGAACATTCTGTTCCCACTCATATCACTTTGCATAATCAAACCTCTCTTAGGGTGAAACACTTTGCAAGTCCCATTTTGAATCAAGATTGCTATTCCCTTCTCTTGAAGTTGTCCCAAGCTTAATAAATTATTTTTAAGCTCAGGAATATAGTAAACATCAGAGATCACCTGGGTTATGCCATTCACTTCCACTCTTATGCTTCCTTTTCCAGCCACTGCCATTTTTGTGTCATTCCCGAGTTTTACTGTTCGGCTAAACTCTTCTTCCAGATCAAGGAACCATTCTCTATTCCCGGTCATGTGATTACTGCATCCTGAGTCGAGGAACCACACCTTGTCCCTCTTTGTTTCATGATGCTCTACATATGACATCAACAAAAGCTCCTCTTCTTCTTCTTCTAACTCGGCATAATTTGCTTTCTTTTCCCAATCAGGACATTCATATTGAAAGTGTCCCAACTTATGACATTTGAAACATTCAATGGTTGCTTTGCTTAGAGGTTGTCTACCTCTACCTCGACCGCGCCCTCCTCTGAATGCGCCTCGACCTCTTCCCCTACCTACTCTGTCTTCATGAGCCACTTTCAACAAATGTTCCTCCTCATGATAGCCCTGCATCCTCTGTTCTTGAACCAACAGACTCCCGTGCAATTCGTCGATGCTTAACGTACTTAAATCATTTGACTCCTCTATTGAACAAACAACATAATTGAATTTAGGAGTCAAAGATCTAAGTACCTTACTGACCACTGTACTCTGCTCTATTGTCTCGCCATTCGACTTCATTTTGTTTACTGTAGACAAGGTTCGACCCAGGTAACTGTCTACCTTTTCTCCTTCTTTCATGGCGAGAAGTTCAAACTCTCTTCTTAGTGCCTGAAGTTGAGCCCTTTTCACCTTAGTGGATCCTTGATACTTCTGCTTCATTGAATTCCAGATTGCCTTCGACGTCCCTTTGTCGAGAATTATCTCTAGAATTTGTCTATCTATTGCCTGGAATAGATAGTTTTTGACCTTCAAATCTTTGAGTTTGGCTTCCTCCACCATCTTCCTCTGTGCCTCATTTGCTGATGACGTCCCAATTGCCGGTGTCGGTATTCCTTCATCCACCAGACTCCACATCTCCTTACTTCTCAGAAAGTTCTCCATCGTCATCGCCCAAAAATCGTAATGGCCATCGAATTTTGGGATGGAGGGTTACAGGAACCTCTCTGATGTTGACATTCTGCTCTCTCTCTCTCTCTTTCTGTTTCACTCACACCTTTTCACACAACCAGTCCCTTTACAGAGCTCAGATACCAATTGTTAAAACTCAAACTGTTATAGCAATGGGAAAGGAGATATTATTCAATGATAGCAAACTGAGGCTATATATATTCAATACAACGTGACTGAGAGAATAAATAGCAACTGCATCTAACAGCCCTATAATGCAGTGGAAATAATCAAAACACTAACTAAACTCCTAAAGAATAGGTCCTCCTAAATACTAGGATTTATTAAGCAAACTGACAAACAATTAACAACTAACTCTATCAAAAAGTGCTTATCTAACGTGCTTTTCAATCTTTTCTCAACCAAATCCAATCTGCGGAAGAGCATGGTGATTAATGGAATAAGCAAATGAAGATGAAGTTAAGAGAAACGAAAGATATGTGAAGTTGATGTCGACGCAGATTCATGATGGAATTTGGTACGTGCGTTTTTTTAGTGAATTTCAGTTTCAATCTTCTTCGTCTCTCTTCTTTGATTGTTGTTCAATTATGGTTTATGTATAGTGTTAAACTATTAACGAATTCGTCATTTCGTAACTTGCACACCAAGTGTTCGATGAAATTCCTGAACTGAATTCTTTCTCTTTTTTGATAGATTTCTACTGTGGAATTGTTGTTGTGTTGATATTCATTGTTGTAGCAGGTCGTGGTTGGCGAATTGATGGAGAATGTGTCTACATCATCATGAATCATTGTTGTAGTATTGTCCCGATGTCAAGTATATCAATATCGGAAGCGAAATACAGCTGCGCCAGCTGCTTTTTGGTGGTACTGTGAACAGGTGCACACTTTTTTTAAATAATCGAATGTTAGGACCTATTTATCAAGCAAACTGTCAGATTATTGTAATTTTAATACATATTTGGATATGTTTTATGAAATGTGTTGTTTATGACAAAGTAGCTGATAGATATTGATGGAAGCAATTCATACATACATACTTGTCTTGTTCAAATTGCAGAAAAAACTCCGCTTTATCACTTCCAATTGAAGGAATATTCAAAATTCCCAATGTTGATGGAGTGATTGAAGAAGGCAAGAAGGATCCTAAAAAGTTCTGCGATATGAAGGTGAAAAGCCTAGGTTATAACTTAAAGACAGAGATTTACACAACAAGTTGTTGGCCATCAATTAGTGGTGATGCTTAAAAGGTCCTGGCTGGAAACATTTCTTCTGATTTTCACTTTACCGGTTTGAGGTTTAGAACTTGGATCTTTATGATGAACATGGAAATCCTTCTCAAAATCATATTGAGGTTCCAACAGGTGATAATTCTGCATATGGAACAACTTTTGTTGCTTTTCCAACAGAGAAAGAAGGGAGAGAAGCTTGCCATGCCATTACTTCTTTATGTGAAGTCACTTCAATGAAATCTTTGATTTCAAACTTCATTCTACCCTTGCAGATATATTTTTAATTGCATGTGTTTGGTCTATTTCGTTATGAATTTTCGCTTCCATGTTCCATCACTCAGGTGTTCTTTATACCATGCTCTACGTCAGCTTCATATTTTCTTTATACCATGCTCTACGTCTGAATTATCATGAAACAAAAAATAAGAAAAAAAGTCCATTTTACTTGGTTATTAGTTTTGAAGTTGAGTAAATATATACCTGTTCTGGACTAGGATTCATACTGACTTCTGTGAGCCATATAGGAAGTCTAGTTGCAGCAAGAAGATCTAGATTTGTCCTCATGTAAGCAGTGTTTGGCATACCGTTTGAAAAATGGCCTTGCACCCCTATGGCCAATGATATTCCATCAATTTCCTGAAATCGCTGAATCTCCTTAACTTTCCTGATATAATTGGTTGGGCTGGCAACACTTTCTCCCCTGTACGCAATGGTGTTATACTCATTCATAAACATCAGTGTTTGGATCAAGATGGTAAGTTGTAGAATAATATATTGCAGAGGCATTTTCACCAAGTTTGTCCTTAAAATAACGGCAGTGGAGATTCTCGTTCATCTCGTCCCATGCAATCACTTGTCCAATATACTTTGCAGCTGCTTCTCGCAATTTGTCAGGAGAGAGGGACTTAACCCATTCAGGCTGAAAATTTTCATCGTCCCACAAAATGGTATGGCCTATAACTGAAACACCATTTTCTTTGGAGAATTTTAACATGGCATCTGGGATAGTATAGTTTTCCTGGCCTTGAACATTCTCTGTACTATACCACTTCATCTCATTGGTGAAAGTTGTGTATTTGAATCTAATGTTAAATCTTTTTACTATGGATTCAAGAAGCTGAATTATAAAAATTCAATGTGAAAAATAAGAATTCAATGTGTAAAATAAAAACAGGTTGGCTTCCTCAGAACTTTCCATGCCATAGGTACTCCATCATCCTAAAAAAGAAACAAAAAAAAAAACGTAGCAATTATAAAATGTTTTATTATGGATTTGACATACAGACAATCTATTATTTTATTTTTTCTAATTTGAAATAACTACTAATTCTAAAATGATTGAACTATTTGAATGAAGAGATATTTTGTTTCAAATATTGGCACATGCCTCCAAGTACTTACAGCTCTATGTTGTAGGATGTTAATGTGTGATGCTTTTGTTCTTTGAAGCACAAATTTTTCTAATGGATTCAGTTCAATGTCAGCAACCTAGTTTCATTTAGTTGCACTAACAGTGTTATTGAATATCGGCTATGGCAGATATCAGTGGCGGTTTTTGGGCTAGCCGCAACTGTAAACATGAGCTGATATTGCGGGTTTTCTGCCATAATCTGCTATGACGGCTCCACAGAGGCGCTTGTACAATGGGACTTTGGCTCTTTGCCATGGACCGTCATCTGCCATCGAAAACACTGCACTAGTGTATATTATTTTTTTTTAAAATTAAAGCGGTAGCAAAATTTTGTAAAAGCAAAATTAAACTGCGGTCTAGGTTGATAAATTCATAGAGCCAATCCTAGGGCCATTATAAAAATTTATTTAATTTAATTTGAACTTTTTTATCTAGGATTTAATTGGACTTTATTGAGTATCAAATATATGATTAAGTGGACAAACTTACTCTATGTATCAAACATATTCCATCCACGACAACTGCAGTTTTTTTAATCCTCTTAAGTCATGCAGATTCACTGTGGTTGGAAACATCTAGAGAATCAATAGGAACCGTTGGATCTTAATCAATAAGATGCTTTTGATTGATTTTGGTCAAACTGTACGGACTATGTCACCGTACGTGATTGCGACTACAGGTACCGATTCCAAAATGACGCAACGCATCATCGAGTGACTATTTGTATTCTTCAGTTTCTTTACTCAATTTACCCTATTCATATTTTCAAAAATTCAAACTCGCCGCGCAACACTCATTCACGAAATCATGTCTCAACCAACAGCAACAATGGCAACCAAGTCAGCAACCAGGTCAGTTTCTCTCTGCATACTACTCTATTATTGCGTCTCGCTTGATTTTCTACCGCCTTGGTAAGTTACTTTCATTTTTTCTTCATGAACTTTTTCGGTTCAAAATCTCAATGCTTTCAATAGGAGGAACTTGTTCGGAAACAGAGATTTTAATTACTCTATCTGTAGATGTTTTCTTTTTATTGGTTTTGGTTTCTTATTTTACTTTCACATCCTAACACACTTCACCTTGGTGCCTTGGCCATGCCATGAAGCAGCTTGAAATATTATGACTTCTTAATACATGAAATACGAATAAATGTGATAACTAAAATAAAGTGTAACGTTGCATATGAAATAGGATATAAATGAAATTAAATATAATATAATTTGTTCATTCATAAAGGGTGTAAATTATATTAAAAAGTGTATAAATTAGCATGTATTTACACCCGAGTTTTATTAAAAAATAGTGTAAATTAACATGTATTTACACCCGAGTTTTATTAAAAAACGGTGTAAATTATCATGTATTCACACCCGATTTTTATTAAAATAGGGTGTAAATTAGCATGTATTTACACGCAATTTTTATTAAAATAGGGTGTAATTATGAACGTATTTACACCCAATTTTTATTTTAATAGAGTGTAACTAAGAACGTATTTACATCTGATTTTTATTTAAAAAGGGTGTAAGATAGCATGTATTTACACTCGTTTTCTATTATAAAAGGGTGTAAACATAGTATGTATATATACCCGTTTTTAAACGGGTGTAAATGCGTTAGACATTTCTCACCCTATTAATATACACCCGATTTTTATTAAATTTAATGGATATAAATTTAATTAAAAAATGAGTGTAAATTAACCTTTTTGTACTAGTGTTACAATATGATGTTTGCATTCACTTCACCTGTTGGACAACAAATTCAATAATGGAAGGGGTCCACCTACAATACGGATTCAAGGTCAATCTTGCCACTGAATTGAGAGTTTATTACCACCGAAGTTTGTACAACTTTACATTTATGACAATGAAAATGAGATCACAAATAGGATGCATGACCTTAGGTATAGATATATATTTTCTTCTAACTTAACCAAAATTTATTTACTTCTACTTTACAAAAATAAATTATTATACATATTGTTTCCTCACTTCTAAATATTATCATTATAGGAACAAAAACAACATTGATTCCCAAATAGTCAAGGATCTCTATGACATATTGTACACCCATAACACCCATGTCAAGAGTTTTCGTAGAGAGAGACTTAATCAAAGCAATGTTCATAATTGAAAACTGAGAGAGACTTAATCAAAGAGTTTATGTATGGCAAGAGAGAGACTATTTCATTGTATAAATTGCAACTATCACATAATTATGGCATTCATGTAACAATTAATATGAAGATGTAAAAAAAATTCTGCCCTACTATAGATTTGTATCAAATTATATAAATTTTGTTAACTTAGTAAATCAAACATTAATGCTTGGATTTGTATAGGTGTTACATTGTGAGTTAAAAAACACTTATATACTTTATATTGAGCTATTTTCTGTTCCATTAAGCACTAACTCAATGTTTTTTTGTTGACATAGATGAACAACTACAAATCTTCAATGAAATAATGCAAGTTGTGACTGAACAAAAAGGAGGAGTGTTTTTTTTTATATGGTTATGGTGAAACTGGAAAGACTTTCATGTGGAAAACATTTTCAGCAACTTTGTGTTTGAACTGTGATATTGTTTTGAATGTCGCATCAAATGGGATAGCAAGTATACTATTGTCAGGTGGAAGAACAACACATTCCAGATTCAAGATTCCAGTACCATGTTTAGAATCATCTATTTGTAACATTGAGAAAAAATCCGACCTTGCTGGCCTGTTAAAAATAACAAAGTTGATAATATGGGATGAGGTTCCAATGGCAAACAAGTTTTGTTTTGAATCTCTTAACAAGTGTTTGAAAGATATAATGGGTGATGGTAATGTTGCTTGTAACAAATTTTTTGGAGGCAATGTAGTTGTGTTTGGTGGAGATTTTAGATAAATTCTACCAGTTGTATCAAGAGGAACCAGGTGTGATATAGTCAATTCAACAATTAATACCTCATATATATGGAAACATTGCAAGGTTCTAACACTTATAAAAAATATGCGGTTGGAAACTAGGTCACATTCAAGTAATGTAGAAGAGATTGAGTATTTCTCAAAATGGGTATTAGAAGTGAGAGATGGGAAAATATCATAACCGAGTGATGGATATGTTGATATTACTATTCCATTTGAGTTAATTCTTTCAGAATATGTGTATCCAATTGAGATGATTGTTACAAGTACTTATCCTAATCTCCTTTAAAATTACACAAATTCAAATTTTCTATAAAGTAGAACTATTTTAGCATCAACTGTGGATGAAATTAATGACTACATTACTGATCTACTTCCAAGTTAGTATTACTAAGCCATGTACTTCAATTGATTTAATATGCTAAAATATTACTATATTCATGTTAATAATTTCCATTTTTACTTTTAGGTGATGCAAAAGAGTATTTGAGTAGTGATTTCATTGACATATCAGAAGTTAATGAAAATGAAGCATTCGAGCATTTGACACCTGAATTCTTAAGTTGTTTGAAGACTTCGGGATTACCAAATCATTCAATGAAATTAAAGATTTGCACAACTATAATGGTGATAAAGAATTTGGATCAATCTGAAGGTCTTTGTAATGATACAAGATTGACGGTAACAAGGTTAGAGAATCATGTCATTGAAGTTAAGATTATTTCAGGTATCTATGTAGGTAAGACCATTTACATCCCAAGGTTGTACTTGTCTCCTTCTCAATCTCCTTGACCATTCAAGCCTATTAAAAGGCAATTCCATATTATTGTCTCTTTTGTCATGACAATAAACAAATCTCAAGGTCAGTCATTAGATTTTGTTGGTTTATATTTACCAAAAGACGTCTTTAGTCACAGGCATTTATATGTTGTCATGTCAAGAGTCAAAAACAAAACTGGTTTAAAGATCTTAATTCATGACAAAGACCGTCTCTCATTAACTCATACAACTAATGTAGTCTTCAATCTTAAATGAAAATAAAAGAGAACACACCCCTGACCTTATATTTGGAGGTGTCTGACAAAGACATGAGCTCAGTTCTTGTGCAAGATGGAGAAGACGGGAAAAAGTCGGTTTACTTCGTTAGCAAAGTTCTGAAAGGGGCTGAGCAGCGATACCAGAAGATTGAAAAGCTAGAACCGGCATTGGTGATAACAACCTGGGAGATGATACATTACTGGTCACTCGATAATTGAGGACAAATTATCCCATTAAGAAAATACTGAAGAAGTCGTGTCTAGTCGGGAGAATGGTCACGTGGGTTGTGGAGTTGTTCGAGTATGACATTGAATTCAATCCGAGAACAAACATCAAGTTATAAGTGTTAGCTGACTTTATAGTGAAGTTAAGTAACCCTATACTGGAAGAAAGTGTAATTAGATGGACCCTTCATGTGGACGGTTCATCCAATCTTAAGGGGATTAGAGTCGAGATCGTTCTGGAGGTGCTGAGGGACTTTATACTAGAATACTCCTTGGGTTTCAACTTTTAGACCAACAATAACCAGGCAAAGTATGAAGCTATAATAGCAGAAATGAAATTAGCTAAAGAAGTTAGAATCACCCATCTGATCATAAAAGCAGTTTTGCAGTTGGTTTCAGGACAGATGAAGGGAGAATACCAGACCAGGGATTTGACATTATTGAAATACCTCCAGATAGCACAAGGATT